AAGCCATGTCGATGCTCGGAAGCACTGTCGGTCTCGGCCACTCGGTGGTCGGAATCATGTCGCTGCTCGCGCCCGAGTCTACGGGCAAGCTACTTTGCGTCCCTTCGCCTCGGGCGGCCAACTTTGTCTCGCGACTCTTTGGAGTGCGCGAGCTGCTTCTGGGCGCAAGCCTCTTGCTCAGCATCCGAAACAACCGCTCGCTCGCAGAACGCATGCAGCTGCTCACCATCATCAACATTATGAACGCCACAGACACCATCTCGGGCATCGTCGAATACTTCAACCGCACCATCGACTTGAATGGCTTCGTCCTGGGCTCCGGCGGCGCGTTCACACTTTTCTGCCTAGGAATGATCCAGGCCTCTAACTGGTAAATCTCCTCACCGCACATCCCCTTCCAATGTCAACGCCTTGTCAGCTTCTGTTCCGGGCGAGAGTGAGCGGTGCCGAGGTTGAGCTGGACTGCACATCAAACGCTGCCGCCTTTTGGCTGCGCGGTGTGGGATCATCAGATCAGAAAGCGCACCTCGTCGGTCGTCTCACACCAAGCCGCAGCGCACGCAAACCGCTCGAGGTGGTCAAAGCCCATCGCCGACATGCCGTCCGCTGCTCCATCACCTCCACCAGCTACCTCGACTCCGCTGTCACACTCGCCGCCAACGGGCACGTCCGCAGCAGTTTCCCCAAAAGTCGAGGTGGCGCCTTCCTCGTCCATGCCGGTCTCGCGCGGCAATGTTTCGAGCGCGCCCGCAGGAAGCGTGCATAGCGATGCGCAGCTCGGGGACTCCTCCAGGTACGCACCACAGCCCTCGTAGAGCTCCATCACGATCTCCGACATCCGCTCCGACGGCGCTTGGTGGTGCAGCTGCTGGGACATGACTCAGAAGCGGCATGCACGTCGAGCACGAGGCTCGAGACCATCGCTGCGACCAGCCATCCAAAATCGTGCTTGCAGTGTCGAGCGTGGAATCGTTCGTTGCCCGGCGGTAGCAGTCGGAACAGCTGCCGGTTGCGCTTGACGTTCCCAGCTCCACCATCGCCACCAGAGCCGTATCCGTGTAGCACGTCAGCCTATCCAGATGCCACTGCCCGCACGCCCTGAACAGGTCTTGCTCCGACAACGTGCTCTGGCGTCCAGTATGCTGTGCAAGCGAGAATTCGTGCAAGCCGCAAGCTGCGCTTGCTCAGTGGCCTCTGGCAGTGTAGCTCCATACATCACAGGTATCGCCGCGCACGGTGTTGCATCGAAGCTTCTTGTCACGGCATCCGTGGCACGCAAGCCGCTTCTATGCGTACGCATCGGCGCTCATGGCGCACAGCAGCATGTCCAATGAGAAAAGGTGGTGGTGGCCGTACCAGATGGAGTTCCGAGCGCCCGGAGTTCTGAGGCGGCTTTGAGCTCCGTCTGTCCTCGACCCGAGTCGCACACTGCCTGCCTGCCGCTGCCAACCACATACGTCTCAGGGTCCAGGCTCTATTTACCCGGCACGCGCGCTGTGCCTGCTCGGTATGCAACCGCCCGCTGCATACAAAGACCGGATCGGTGTGAGCACGGCATTCGTGGCAAGCACTCCAACAGCATCCGCACAATCTGATCGACATGGTGCTATTGCCCGTCCCTTTAGCGCTTTTGGATGAAGAAAGAACATCAACAATTTCATCGTTGCTTTGACTAGGACATTCTTCGGTCCTCTGAGGATGGATGGTGTGGTACGGTGGATAGCATCATTTCGCGCTTTGGGTACAGCAGACGCCGACGAGCCTCTTGGACGCCAAGGCGAGTACAGCGATCGCACCCAGTGCCAAGGCGAGAGGCACGCTCTGGGAAGCCGCCCATCCGTGGCCATTCGAGCTGCCAATCGTTTCGGTCACGGGCGGTGCTGCAAGTTTGCCCGCAGCCACCGTGGCCGCGTACCACGGCACCAACGACGCGCGCACGTCGGCTGGCAAGCTTTGGGAGAAGAGCGATGGGAGCGAGGCCGCCTGAATGTTGTAGCCCATCATGGCCAGGCTACATGCGATGGCGAACACGACAGCAGTTGCTGCCGAGCCCGCTTTGAAGGATAGCGACATGGTGATGAGGAAGACGGCGGTGAGCGAGATGACTTGCGAAGCCTGCGTCAGAACCGTTTCCGCATGCAGTTTGGAGCCTGCTTGGTCTTCCAGCTTGCCCTTCTCCGCTGCATCGGAGCCACTTGCTGCATTGCTCTTTTGCATGTGGTCCAGGATGAATTGGCGCATGCGACCACAGCCGATGCTCGCCAAGAGCGAAAGCGCAAAGACGATCGCCTGGATTCCAGAGGCAAGGGTGATGCCTATGTGCCAACGTTGTGCCAGGAGCTCGGACAGCAGGAAGAGAACGTTGGCGCTCAGGTAGGCCGAGACGAGCATGAGACCGAGAATAAGGCATGGCATCTTCCAGCGTCCGTCTTTGGAAGTGAAGAAGCCCATGAGCGGGACAAAGGCGTTGTGAGCCGGCTTGGACTTGTCGTCGAGTAGAAAAGCCACCAGAGACGCGATGATGAGCGAGGTAAAGGCTGCAAGGAACGTAGGCGCATTGGTTCCGTCCACCTTGAAAGCACTGTGGCCGACGTCAAAGTGAACACGAGTCAGGGGGATGCTGAGAAGCGGACCCAGCACCATGGCAATCCCGCCAAAGGTGCGGAAGAGCGACATGGCCTCGATCCTCTGGTGTGACGCGGTGGAGACGGTCAGATATGCCATGGCCAAAGAGGCGCTCCCGCTGGCTAGACCGAGAAGACATCGAGCGCCTACGATGGCCCAGACGTTGTTGATGCCTCCAGGCGCAGCCAGGGAGTAGATCAAGTTGCCGACGGCCGAGCAGAGAAGCAGGAAGCATGCTGGCCATTTGAGCGACCCGACCATCGCGGCAAGCGGACCGACGAACAAGGAGACAAAGAGCTGCACTGCGGCCGGAAGCAGCTGGGCCAAGCTGAGGTAGTGGCTCGTCTCAGTGCCGTTCGAGGTGCATTTTGCGAGATGTTGGTATGCTGTTGGTAGCCAGAGGGTGCTGTCCATGCCGAACTGCAAGGCGATGAGGAAGACGGGCAAAAGTCGGACAAGGAGGCTGCTGTTGGCGTTTGGCGAAGAAAGCCTGTGCATATCGTGGCCTGAAACGTGGCGAGATGCATGTTTTCCTCGCGAGTCAGGCTGATCAGTGGCCGAGTTGTGCGTCTGACTCGAGTTGCTGACGATAGGGTGAAGCGCACCACCGTGCTCGGCTTGATCGACCGAGGCGGCCCTCTGTGGACCAGGCGCGCTCATGATTGCAGGTATCGTTGCAGCCGAGAGCTTGCGAGAAGCGGTGGGATGGTGATGATGCCAAGTGCAAAAATTGGCCCATCGAAGATGTTGAGATCTTTATGTGGCTCTAACGCATCTCATCTTACCCGGGTGAAGTCTTCTACCGCCGCCCAGAGGCCCGTCCGCGGAGCAAGAGCATCTTGCGAGTGGCGTGGGCGGAGAATTGCGAGGAAGCACGGGGGACGTCATCCCAGCAGCCCGGGCCGGAAGCGTTGACAAGACGCAAGTCATCAGGTTCAGCCGGCGGAACGGACAAACGGACAAACGGACAAACGGACAAGCGGATGAGCGTGGGATGAGCACATTGAATGGTTCGCGGCCTTGGCTCTTCGCCACTGGCTCTGGAAGACGGCCGCTAGCCTTACTAGGCTTCGGATATGCACAAGCACGGAGGTGTCAAGCGAGTAGCGCGGACATGTCTTAGTTTGCGCACAGTGCCACCGCCTGCAGAAAGGCGCAAGACTCTCACGATTGTTTGATTCTAGAGCTTCCTTCGGCTAATGAAAATTTCCAGCTTGTCCGTATCCTTGCAGCTGCAGCACGAATCGCAATTGACTGAAGAATGGACGTGAACATGGCATGCCCGTTAAAGCGACTTCTCACGAGAGAGACACGCCCCGTTGAGTGACGAATGGAGCTCATCGCACAATGCGGTCAAATCCCGCCACCGAGTCTCGCAGCCTTGCGAGCCTTGCGCAGCAGAGGGGCCGACACGACGCCGAGCTGGTGCAATTGTTCCAAGGCGCCGAGCGCGAGCAGCGCATCAGACCTCTGTCTCTCGCCGTCGTCTGCACTCGAAGCAGTGTCGGAAGCGAGAGGGAGCAGCGGATGCTTGATCAATGCCAAGGTGAAGACGAGCGCACGCAGGCTCAAGCCGGCCATCAGTTCCAGCAGGTGTCTGTCCACTCTGGCCGAGCTGGCCAGGTCGGGTTGAGTGAGCGAGCTGGGGGCATCGGAGCGAGTCGAGCCATTCTGACCACTGCCGCGAAGCTGACAGCTACGATGATTGGCTCCGTTCAGGTCATTGCCACCGTCTTCTTCCTCCTCCTCTTCCTCCTCTCCATCTCCTTCTTGGTCATCATCATCCTTGGCTCCGAGGCTGAGTAGAGTGCCAAGTACAGTAGAAACGGTCGCCGATATGCCCTCCTGCGCTGCCTTGCGGTGGTCTCTGTCAACACGGCAGAAGGGATAGTGTAGCAGAACGCGGGTGTAGCGCATCAACATGAGCACGAAGCGCTTGAGCTGCGGCTCTTTGTGATCGGCGCTTGCTGGCTCGCGCGTCTGCAAAAGCGAAGCACAAAAGTCAAGAGCCTTGCCTGTTCGCTCGACGTGATCCTCTTCTTGATGCGACGGCTTGGTCGTCATGGGCGTCGCCACTTCCAAGCGGGTCTCGCAAGGCACCAGCAGTCTTGCTCCTTGTCGGTAGTGTCGCTCGATCGTCTGGCCGATCGCAACGCTTGTCCAGATGCGTGCTACGAACACGGGTGATGAGGACAGAAACTGCGATCTTGGACTCTTTGTAGCCGCTGCTGTGTGCGAAGATGATAGCGGGTCGGCTTGTTGTTGCATGCCTGCCTTCGGGTCCGGCATGGGCAGCTCGACAAGCGCCAAGTCGATGGGCATGTCTCGTCCTTGCCAGGCTTGGAAGTGGCAGCCCTGGCTGACGAGGTGCCAGAAGGCATTTAGCGCTTGTTGCTGCCGCAGGGTGGATCCTAGATTGGCGATCGTCGCAGCGCGGTGGATCGACATGGTGGCTGCTGCTCTGCAGCCCAGAAAGACGGAGGCAGAAGCGAGCTCTTGACCCTGGTGGCATCTTGAGAAAGCAAGGGACATCATGCGGTACGTCTGCATCACTTGGATGGAATCTCCACAGAGGCCCTTTCGGCAGTGCTCCCAAGCGACTGTAAAGAGCAGGATGGTGGCATCTGGCATGTGATCGAGTTGCTCTAGGGTGAGATTGCGGGGGAGCTCGATTGGCGACGAAGCCAGAATCGACTCGGCGAGGCAGATTGCGGCCAGTGTCCAAGCGCAACGGAGTGGATCTGGCTGGACGGAGGAGGAAGAGAGGCCGGGTTGACTGAGGGCGCTTGCCAAACCGTCTTGCGCCAAGACCGTGTCCAGCTCGAGCTGTTCTTGCAGCTTTGAAAGGCATAGAAAGGGGCTTGTTTCTGCCTCGGAAGGACCGTGCGCGGAGCGACAGAGCCTTTCCAACGCTTTCAAGAGTGTCGGCCATCTGCTTGGCTTTGGCAGACAGCGTTTGTAGGCATGAAGCAGCTCTGCAGATGCTTCGCTTCGGCCTTGAGCCGGGAAGGGGGGCGTAGCATCTTGGACGCGCGCGGCGCCGTAGCATTCTCTGGTGAGACGCAGAGAGTCTGCATCGATAGAGGCATGGGTCGCGTTGTTCGAGATGGCTTGGCGTGTCGAGTCTGTCTGGCTGAAAGTGTTGGTCCACTCGGGCCAATTAGATGATGGGTCGCACGTTGAAGATGGTTGCCAGTGGGATGCCAACCACCAGAAGGTATCGTTCATCGCGTCAGGAATGGTGCCGCAAAGAGGATCCTCTGGAATCGTCGAAGAAGATACAGGCAGTTGCGAGCCGCTGCTGGATGTGGATCGGGGGTCGACGCCGTGACTGCTATTGGAGATGATGGACCCTTGTCTCGAATGTGCGCTGCCCGATTGAGCAGGTTGTGCGAAGCCAGAGGACACAAGCTGGGGCTCTGCCCAAAGCTCAGAGTCCGAGTGGTGCGACGACAGTGATGGCATGCTGTACGCAGTGCTCGAAACAGGATGTAGATGCAGCTGGGCTTGGGCATCGTCGTCGATGCGCCGTCGCTTGTCACGGCTGTAGCAGCATTCCCTTGCATGGACGAGGCACTCTGTGCAATGAGGAAGCTTCTTGCTGCATGCCACCTTGCGGCGGCGGCATTCTACGCACGCCACATCTGCCCTGCTCATATCGACAAGAGCGGGCCGCCTCGGTGGCAGCGATGGAATTCGGAAGTTGGGGTGTGTCGACCTGTGATGGTCCGACGTTGCTCGTGTCGGAGTTCTGTGTCGAAGCCGCCGAAGGCCGTTGCTGCAGAGTCGAGCAGGGTCGAAAGAGCCTGGGCCGGCCAAACATGGCAGCTCGAGCCCGGAACTCGCACAAGATGGCCTCAGCCTGGTTTTCGGCTATCGCTTCTCGGCTGCAGCACTGCGACTATTCCGGCGGATCAGAAGAAGTTTATTAATGATCTCTTTGGGTTTGACAGAAGAATTATTTATCGAAAATTTCACCGAAGCCGCCAGGAGCGAATTCCAGCAACAAAGGCGTGCAGCAACACAGAAGAAGATGGGGCCAAAAAAAAAAAAAAAAA